AGTGCTCGTAAGTTGCCAGCAAGTAGCTCGTGAGCTGCCGGCGAGCACTCGTCGGCTGCTGGCAAGTGGCGCGCCCTTAAAGTTCCTCTAAAGCCCGTTTTGCAAAGACTTTAGAGCCCCTAAGATCGTCAGAGCTGCGGGCCGTAGGCCCGTGAATCGACAGTGCTCCAAAGTACCGAATTCTGACCTATGTCTTGAACTGAGGCCTCTAGCTATCACAGAGTGGAGAGCTGGAACACCCTCCCCAGAGAGAGCCTCTCCTGTTGAAAAAAAAACGCCAGCGGACCTCCACCCCAGCGTGCGCTGTACAAGCCCACCACCATCCGGTTTTAGGGTGTTGGTCACTCTTGTCGGGGACAGCAAGGATCGTATCTTTATGCACAAGTACGACAGTGACGTCAGCGATTCAGAAACCTAATTACGCAGCCTCACTTGCCAGCCAACCGCTCCACTGCAACTGCACCCGTCCGACGTCAGAGCCACAGCAGCTCCAAGTCCAAGCTGCTTTCACCGCGCGCGCAGACCTCTTACTGTGATGAAGGACACACAACTGCGGTGAGATCTTAGTGGGTTTCAGGATCTGGCGTTGGCTCTTACAAGACCCAGCTTCGCAACAAGCTCTTCAAAGGCAGCCTGGATAGGATCTTAGTCAAGAGCCCCTAACTGATCTTTCGTAGAAATGTACTCCAAACTGATCCCGTTTGCATGACTCTTCACATGATCAGAGATTGATGCGATGGAAAGGCGTTGAGTCCTGACTAAATCCCTCAGCTTTGCTGAGTATCCTGCCTTCAAGACTTTTGTTCTGTTCGTTGTCTTCAGGGATTCGGATGTGTTTGTTTTTTTTTGGCGTGGGCGTGCCTCAAAAAACAGCAGTTGCTGCGCTCGGTCCCAATAAAGAACTACAATAAAGCAATGAAGAACGAAAGAGGAACTAACAGCTGTACAAAGTGAAACAAACAAAAGCTGCGACGTACAGACTTAGCCGGCAAAGTCCTTCAGCATGAATTAAGTGCACGCGAGCCCACGGATCACCGGCGCTCCCCGTAAAGTCTGGGTCGCGCAATGGCCAACATGAAAATTGGCCCTGCCGCAAACTTGGGTACAATGCTCATCCGAAAGCGACGAAGCCAGATGGTGGAGTGGACAAAGTACGCTCCGACAAGACGCTAGACTCGACGTACAAGACAGCAGCCAATTAACACTGCACGTCAGCCGCATAGTCGAATGACTATGTCGCAAAGAAGTTGCCGCCAATAAGCAGCATCCTCCATGTTTTTATCATTGAGAGCATATAATATAAGAACCACTCGCAGCGTTCGTGGCGACTAAGAAGCTGTGGCCTCATAAACTGGAGACCAAGCTGCACCCTGTGTGGAATCTGGGTCCCAGAAATAGATAGTCTCTCCCTTGGACGGTTCCAGCGCTCACTCTGTGATAGCTGCAGGCCTAAGTTCGAGACATAAGTCAGAATTCGGTACTTTGGAGCACTCTCAATTCGCGGGCCCGCAGCTCCGACGATCTGAGGGGCTCTAAAGACGTGCAAAACAGGATTCAAAAGAAACTTCAAGGGTGCCAGCAGCTGAGCACTTGCGGGCAGCTTCGGAGCTACTTGCTGGCAACTTGCGAGCCTTGGATGTTGCCTCGGTGAATTGGATAACAGTCTTCGCTCTTGCGAAGCGGCTGGCTCGCGTGTGTCTCTGGCAATAGTGTGCTTGGAGCGCGCCCGTTGGACGGCTGGGCAATCTATGTGTGCCACGAGCTGCCTCGCCTGTGTGTATGCTGCTGTGTTATCCCTGGAGGCCTGCCTGCTTGACACGACCTTCAACTCATTTGCTCTTGTTTCCTTGCCCTTGCAAGGCCACTCTGGTGGGAAGCTGCCTCTTTGCCCGTGAGTGACTTCTATGGGAGTGACTGGGCTGGACTACACGTGGTCCTTCTATTGGTTCGGGACAATGTGTGGGCCATTGTGCAACCCCACGCTCATGGGAAGCCGGACAATCTGTGTATGCGCCAGTGCGCTCTCCAGTACCACTGGATAGCGGGGCATCTGAGCGGCTGTAGCAGCTGGTGTTTTGCTAAAGGCTGAACGATTTCTGCCGGCTAAATCTGCAAGTCGCCTGTCTCACCAGGATTTACATAGTCTTCTTTGTTTAACTTCCAGTTATTGACTTTCTTGTAGTCCTTGCTGGGACCGAGTGCAGCAACTGCTGTCTTTGAGGCCCGCCCACGCTTAAAAAAAAAGCAGAGGCTTGTGTCCCGGATCATGCCGGTTGGCTTGTGCGGCTAAGTAGTGGAATGGCTGCAGACCGACAGTTGAAGCTCTAGCATGTCTGTTGGAACAGTACCTGGCCAAGTGACATCTTTAAGATCTGGGCGGGCGAGATTTTTCGAGAACTGGAAGTGCGAGAGCTCGGCATGTCATGCGTGTTGTGATTCGCAAGCTTCGAAGAAAGTCCTGAAATAAACAGAAACGTTTTGAGTGGCTGCACTGCTCTAGAGCTTTGCCGCGTTGGATCTGTCAGCATAAATGACTGCAGACGCCTTTTAGCCGCCTCGGCCACCTCAAAACACCGGACGTTCAGTCTCGGGACCTTTCATGCCCTCTGCTTGAGGGCTAAGCCATAATCAGATGCCTTAAAGACTTTAGCGCATTGCGTTTCACGCTTAAAGCTGTCTCAGCCTTTGCCTCAATTCCAAACGAATGCATGACCCTTCACTCGTCATAAAGTTTGGCCGGGGGTATTTTCCTTTTGGACAGACTCTGCCTGCAGCATCTGTTAGTTTTCGGCCAGCCTTTATGCCTGCAGGTCCAACACGACAAAAAAGAGAGCTGAAGTGCAAGAGCAGTGCAAGCCTTCTAAAACAATCAACAACTGTTGTGCCTGGCCAAGTTGGTTGGGTTGATTCGACCCCTAACCTCGACGTCAGGAAACCCAACCATAACCTTGATTCCAAAATTCAGGTTGGGGTTAGTCCACCCCAACCCAAGATTCGGAGTTCGAATTAACCCCAGACGCCAATTCTTCGTGTCTTTCGGTCTCACAGCATTATTTTTTGTTGTTTCTCTCTTTTTGTGTCTCTGTTTGTGTGGTTGTTTCATTCAATGTTTTTTGTTTATTCGTCATGTTTTTCAATTTTTTGGTTTGGTTTTTGCTCTTTTAACTCATTCTTTCTCTCTTTCTCTCTTTCCCATTTTCTCTTTTCCTCTCTTTAACTTTTTCACTCTTTGTCTCTTTCTCTCTTTCTCACTTTTCCTCTGTCTCTCTTCCTCTCTCCCTCTCTCTCGCTCTCTCTCTCTGAAGTTCGCGCACTGGCATTCAGGAGTTCTGCCATGCAGATACAGCCGATAAGCCCCATCAGATGACATTGGCCCACAGCCGAAACAGCCATGATGGGATTCCGGACCGAACAATGTTTTGTAAGTGCAGTGCCGCTCTGAACTTCGGTATTGTGCAAAAAACTATCTGTTAGCCAGCTTTGACACAGTCAAATTGAAAATCACAGAAATTGGCACAAGTTGCAAGCCATTACGCCGAAATCTTCCCGGTCCAAGAGCCATGGCGCTGCAGGGACCGCAGCAGCTCGTGCAGCGATGGCCGTGCGGATGTATGCTTTGCATGAATTCCAAGGCCTTCCATCGTGACAGTGCAAACGGCACTGGACAAGTTGTGCAAGCAGACGGCAGGTGGCTGTCGTGTCACATGGATGTTGCTCAGCAGCGCAGCAGTGCAACATACATCATGACAGTTATGCTTCAGCTGGCCCACAAACAAAACATGCAACGAGTGGTTCCTGATTCAGTTCTGAAACCGGGGTCGACCACATTCCCTAAACCTGAAACTTAGTTCAATTCCTATATTGCGGTCCCGCGAAGGCATGCAAAGAATCGTCGTCACCGACAAAGATGGTGTTGAAGTGCTGAAGCCTGCTGGGATTTGGTTGCCATGTTCGGAAGCATGACGCTGGAGCATCCAATGTTTCATTGGACGTGCTACTCATGTGCGCTGCAATAGGACATGTTGTATCTTCTCGATTCAGCACAGATTCTACAAAAAGACGTGTTTCGTTCGGGAAGCCTTGTACAGCTCGGAGAGGTATGCTGTTGTTCCGTGAGTGTGTTCATGTGACTTGAGCCCTTATGCGACAATTGCCTGCCAGTTGCAGGGCCGGAGACAAGCTTGATCACGATCCTTCTGCCACGTGGCCTGGCAAGGAGTGGTTGAACAGACTCGTGCTGCACGGACCGTAAGCAGCTGTGACTAAGATCGATTATCACCACCATCTTCTCGCAGACGGCGCAGCAGAGCGAGAAGGTGGCAGGTCTGGGCAAGGCTGCAGTCTCAGGAAGCAAGTGTCGGAGTCTCAGACCCGCTGCTCGTTTTTGAGCCGTCTCCAAGACCCAGAGCATTCTGCTGACCTATGACAAATGCTACGTGCTTCAGGCCATGCTTACGGGCTTGCATCTGTTGGCTGCATGTCTCGCTACAACCAGCAGTTGCAAGTTGTTTGACATGAGTTCAACGTGAAGCCTCATGTCGCAGCTCGACAGCCTCAGTGCTTACGCTAGCAAACCTTTCGCTGACTTTCAGGTTGGCATGGAGATGCTGGTGATCAGCATTCTCGCCAGCAGAGATGCTAGAGCCTTATGTTTCGTGGTTCCAATGCAAGTAAGTGATGGATGCATGCAGTTCCTTGCGAACTTTGGCGGGCTGGCTTTTCTCCAGGCAAAAATTGGCCCTATCATGGCCCTCGTGCCATCGTTGAAGGACCTGGGCTCATGTACGGGCATGTACTAGGAGAGGTGTTGGATCCATCCGTGCGGGCAGGTATTTTGCATGCAGCCCATGATCGGAGAAATGCAGCTCAATGTGTTGCTGAAACAATCTTACTAAATGCAGTCCGTGTTATGCCGTCGTATCTACGGTGAGCAGAAACAGTTGCAACGATTGCAGCAGTTATGTAGTCACATCTTGACATACATGTGATTGAATGAAGCGATGCTTGGTGTTGTGCCTGCTGCCGCGGCAACTCTCGTGCTGCTGGTTGCGACGAATGTTGCACAAAACGGCAGCCCCACCCGCAAGGCTCCGGAGCTTCGGACGCTCGATGATGTTTTACAGTTGAAAACGAAGGCAGATTTTGTGGCTGCCTGGCGTGCTGGCTCGGTGCCTGCCGACTACCGGGGAAGAGGGTACGATGGCTACTTGCTTTCCTTGGGAATTCTGGCTCCCATGACTTTGTTCATAACAAACGTCCTTTTCGGTCCCTTTGCCATCTGGCGCGGCAAGTCATTTCAAAAAGGTGGACGTGGGGGCAGAAACCGCTTTGGAAGGTTCGAAAGCCGTGGCTTTGCGGCCAGCGTTGCAGCTTCGCAGCTGGACGACCGACCAGCACTCGTCCTGGACTACGGGGATCCTGAGCTACGAAGCTGCAATCACGGAAGCAAACAGTCAAGACACAACGGTTTCGGTTCTTATGTCTTAACACTTATGGCGTCTATGGTGTCAGCCTAGGCACGGCGATGTGCTTTGGGGCCGCATTCTCTTCATGCGTGATGAGTTGCGAGAAGTGGGCCCTGGGCTTCTGCTCGGTTTGGGCTCCATGGGTGCGACAGGAGGAATGCCGAACTGTGCACCATTTGTTTTGGTGCCATCGACGCCACCTGAGCCATGAATGGGAGCGAAAATGGAAGGGAACTTGTCACGACCCACGATCTTTGCACGCTTACTTTCCCAAGAAGATTTCCCTTGTCCAGCGCAAAAGCAGTTCTGTTCCCGTCTTCTTCCCCCAACCACGTCCGTCTGAAACTGTTTGTCAACGCAGCGCTTTCAGTCCTTGAACAGTTTATCTTTTGTCTTCGTGGTCATGTGGCTGTCGGGCCGAAAGCCGTAGTGCCGGAGTGTGCGTCTTTTTTGAGGAGCTACTTGCGCCTACGCAGCTCACAGTGAAACGCGAGACAGAGCTTACAGACAAAGCCACGTAGTGCATAGCTGGTCCTGGTCAACCTGCCCATTTGGAATCTCAGCATTCCAGTGCTGTTCAGGCTGTAGCGTGCAGCTCATGTGGCCTCAAAGATGTGACTCTTGATGTTGATTAAGATGCAGTGTGGCAGTGTGAGAGGGACGGTCATAGTCGTGGTTTACAGGACATCGGGAAATGAGGCTGCTGTCAAATTCAGCTTGCGTGTTGGCGCTTAGACGCAGGTCGCACGAGCAGGTCAACAGCGCGCATTGCTTCTGTCTGCTGGTTTGGTGTGCTGCAACCGGCGACGACATGAAAGCCGCAGCTGTGTACTCAGCCTCGTAAAGTACATACGTTGCTCGTGATGCGTCGTTCCACGGCTCGCCTTGCGTGTGGTGAAGCTTAAACGCGCCCGCTGCCATTTGCACAGCGTGGGCACGAGAAAGGATGACTGCGACAGCAACAGAACACTTCGACAGTGCCCGAGTCCAAAATGCATGTGAACGGATTGCTCTAAGCTCTCTTTTGAACTGGCCAGGTAATGTGACTTCATACTGATGAATATTCTGTGCACTTGAGCCCAAAACTTGTCATCTCTTGTAGGCTGAAAGAGACTTCTGCCTGACCGTGACAGGTCATAAACGAATTAAGACCGGGAGTTGAGTAGACGGATGATGCCATCAATCCTCAGGCAGGCCTGGGTACCGGACAACATGAGAAGCATGCATGTGTGTTCTTATTCCTGCACATGCGACTACAGAAAGCCACGGAAGAAGAGCTGACGGCAAGGTCGTGTTGCATTTTATGCGGTCAATGCTGGTAAGGTGACGTCACAACCTCCGGTGTCTGGGTCCTGGCAGTCTTGCACGTGAACATGTCTGTAGCTCATGCTTCGTGTTGCTCTTGGAAAATGTCAAATATCAGCAGGCCTTGTGGGGGAACTGCAGCTACATAAAGTGCCTGGCAAGCAAGGACATGCAGAGGGTCCAAGTTCTGCATTCTGTACAGGCCAGCTGCAGTTGTCAGACTGTGCTGTTTCAGAGTCAATAGCCAAGTGGGTTTGTCTGCAGGGACGTTGTCTGGTTGCACGGCTCCCTGACCCATCAGCCTGTAAACTGTAAGCCAGGTGCCACCGCTTCAGAATGCCAGGCCAGACTCAGACAGATTTGCGAAGCTCTTCTGAAGTCTTCGCGGCGTTCTTGAGCGTGACAAGTGCTGAAGAAGGCAGATTAACAATGCTGCATACTGGCCACCCGTGCAGACGATCGGAGTGTCGCTCTCAGCATCACGGGTCGTGGAGATAAGCAGGCTCCACAGTTCCAGTCCTCGTGCCTCGGTGTTTCAGCGGACGAGGCCAAAAAGACTCCTCGATCTCGATCTCCACCGGAAGATGCTGAGACCTTTGTCGACTCATCTTAAGTGTCTGTTTGCGGTTTCACTTGGTGAGCCACTGTCCTGTGTCTGGGGGGCTCAAGCCGGCTGAGCTTTTGTGCCATCATGCAAGCTTTGCCCTGGGGTCCGGAGTCCGTCCGCCAGGAGTTGCGTGAGTCCATCGAACTGGGAGTGCTGCAGGTCCTTTGCCACCTTCAGCACCACACCGGAGGCGGGAGGGCCCGGCCGCAAGCGCAGGCACTTCTTGCCCGGCCCCAGCGGGGACGCTTGGCGGCTCAGCTCGAGGGGCTGCTGGGCTTCACGACCAACTCTTCCGAACCTCGACCACGCAGCAGGAGCCAAGGGCTGCGCGCACGACGGCTGCTAGCGCTGCTGGATTCGATTCACGGTCTACTTTGTTCGGGCCGCCATGCGACATGCAGGGAGCTCTACTATCGATGCTCGGTCGGAACTTTGGCCCATTCTTCTTCCGTTGTAACTATAACTACTCTGCTAAGTCCGAGTGGGGTGTCGACCAAGGGCATGTCTCTTTGTTCTCAAGGCAGCAGCTCAGCGATGATATGTTGAAAAGACTTTGTCAAGCACTGGCCGTGCCACGTCACTACTTGCGCTTGGTGGGCACAGCCAAGGGGATTGTACGAGGTCACCTGCGAATCTTAGAGCCTCGAAGTGGTGGCAACTCGGGTGATGCCGTCTGGGTAGATGGCATGGACCCCTTGGAACCACGAGGTCATTCGATTTCACCAATTTGCGCACATGTCTTACGAGTGGAGACGATGGCACAGCACGTCTTCGTGGTGGAGAAGGAAACCATCTTCCACCGGCTGCTGGACGAGGGGTTTCTCGAGAAACACAAGCCGTGTATTGTCGTCACGGCCCGTGGCTTCCCTGACGTTCCAACCCGGTACTTCCTCCGCCACTTAAAGGCAGCCTGCGCCAACCCGAAGTTCTTTATCATTGTGGATTTCGATCCTTCGGGTTTGTGGATTGCCGCGACTTATGCCTTCGGTCCAGAGAAGGCTGCATGGTTTCAGGACGATCTGACACTGCCTGAGGCCGTTCCGTTGCTTTGTGCAGGAGGTGTGGAGGGGGCTGTCCGCTTCGGCTTGCGAAGAAACGATGTCCTACGCCTTACTGCACCCGACAATGCAAAAATGGCCGGCCTTCGGAGGCGGCTTGGACGGTCAGGCTCGGGTGATGATGTGCTACATCCGTATTTGCAAGGCCTCGACGACCTGTCCAGAGGTGGCGTGAAGTATGAGATTGATGCCTTGGACCACTTGACCGAATTCATTGCATTTGCAGCCCGTCCAGGATGCGACAGGGCCGTCGCAGGCTCTTTGGGTGCGTCCGTCATGTCAAAGTGACAGGATGTTGGAAGAGGCAAGTTGTGTGCTGGTGCGTGCGTTCGGGAAAATGGGCTTGCCACGGAAGCAGTGGCGACGGCAGTCACCCTTTCAACTTTCAACAATCTTGTTGCAAGCATCATGTGCATTGGCAGCTTATGGGAGGTTCTGTATACACAACAAACAGCCAAGCCAGCGCAACTGAAGGTGAAGCTTTCGGATTTCGAGATGCTGGACGGGCAAGGAGGACGCTGCTTTAGGGCCGACGCGACTGTGCAAGTATGTTAGCCACTGTGTTCCGGCCGCTCAATGCATCATTCAATTTTCGCACATTCATCCCTTTGATGTTCATCTTTGTCGGGAGGCCGCTCGCTGGGCAAGGGCTCCTTCGGTGTCGTGCGACGCATTCGGCGCAAGGCGGGAGAGGTTGCTTTGTTCGGACAGCGTGCCAACCTCTTAGTGAGTCCATCCCCAGCAGCTGCGCTGGTTTGGCTCCTTCGAATACGGGGGGGCAGGGAACTGATGATGTCTATGCGCTCAAGACGATGCAGAAAGCAGAGGCAGGGTGTGATGCTGTGGGAGGATGTCTTCCTGATCACACCTCTCAAACGGTCTCTGATCATGAGTAGGGTGCAGACACTGTTGTTGCTGGCGCAGGTAGTCAACGGTCAGCTGGTGGAGCAGGTGCCGTGCATGCATGGGGTGCTTGTTTCGTGTGTGTTTGTTTTGGATCTCTCGGCGGCCGGGGGCTTGAGCTCAGCGGACCGTCCGCAGGTGGAAAGGGAGATCCAGGTCCAGCGGACTTTAAAACATGAGAACGTGCTGCGACTCTACAAGCACTTCGAGGCGCACAGGGTGGATCATCAGGCTAGTGTCTGAGGATCTTTCAAGGAGATGCCAAGGAGGTAAACATATGCAGTGTGAAGGGCATGTTTATGTGTTTTTGCAGCAGAAGAACAAGTTGCCAAAGCCATGAGGACGAAGACACGGTCTATTTACTCCTCGAGTACTGCGCGAAAGGGGAGCTGTATCAGCTTCTCCGGACCCTTCCTGTCATGAGTGTAAGAGGAACGAGAGCAGGCTGAAGGAGAACTCGCAGGCAATGCTTGTGTCTCTTGCCACCTTGTTGATGCGTTGTGATTGTGCCGCAGAGCATGTCGTTGGTGCTACGCATGTTATCGTTTAGACGTGCAGGCACAGAGCAGGATGCTTGACAGATATGTTTGTCAAGTGCAGGACGCAAAAGGGACGCAAGTTCAGCGAGCAGATGTCCAAGCATTTTTTCGTCCAGGCACAACCTGGAAATATGTTGCCATCCGACGAGACCTTTGCATGAACGTGTTGTCACTTTGTAGCCGGAAGACATGTAGTCAGACTATTGGCAGTGTCGAGACATGCTTGTAAATGGCATGTTCCCTGTGTTGCTGTCATCAAAAGCAGTGTGTGAGCACATGCTGCTACAGCGAAGGCACCGGTTAGGAAACAGTTTATTTTTCGTCAGGGGGGGCTGGATTTCTTAATTTTGAAGCCCACCTTTTTTGGTAAAAAACACGTATCGGGATTTGAGGGTACCCTGGATTTCTTAACCCAAATTTCTTAATTTGAAACGACAGGGTTTAAATCAAGCTTTGCCATATAGGAAAAACCCACCAAAACAAGAAATTGAGGGCTCGATTTTTTAAATTTAAGAAATTGAGGGGCTCAATTTCTTGTTTTGGGGGGTTTCTGGGCTTGCCGAATAAGGGCTAATTGAAGCCTCAATAACACGGAGGGCTCTTACAGGCTTTACAAGGGCTTAGTAAGGGCTTAAGAATCAAGCTTTGCCATTTTAGAAGCAAAATCACCAGCTCGATTTCATTGAATAAATTGAGGGGCTCGATTTTTTATTTTGGGGGGTTCTGGGCTTGCTCAATCAGGGCTTAATAGCAGCTTTGGAGGGCTCTAGAGGCTTTGTAAGGGCTTTGTGCCGAGCTTTTGGAATACGAAATCTACTCCCTGAGTTTCTTGGTCTCCTTTTTTGCGCGAGCAAAACCAGCGAATACAAAATGAGAGCAAAATCAGACATTGGCACGCCGAGTCCTGGATACTCTGGATTTCTCATTTTCAATTCGCGCATTTTTTGAATATATGGTCATGCGCTCTGCGGCCCCCCCCCTCCCCAAAGGTCAATGGTCTGGATGTAGGTGGGACCCCCCTCCCAAGTGGTGTGGGGTGTGGGGTCTTTCTTACCCCTGGGGTTTGGGGTTTAGCTTAAGCTTTTGAGTGTTGGGTTTACTGTTACAAGGTATCAGGCTTCCATCGACAAAGGCTAGTTTCGTCAGGGTTGACGGTTCATGTTCTGCTTCAGGCTTGGAGCTTGCATTTAGGTGGGGTTTAGGGTTGGGTGCAGGGTTTAACGCACACATACCTAAATGTACACATACACAGTATATGTATATATATATATATATATATAAATATATCTATGTATGAGTGATTGTACGTTTATCTTTGTATATATATATATATGTACACATACATACACATGTACAACGCATACTAACGCACTCATCATGCCCACTTGACAGCACTGTCTCCAACGCTAATCAACCTACGGTTTTCGTGGCACTTCCCCAGCGCCTGTAAAGCACTCTCACCAGTGCCAAAAACAAATGCACTATCACCAGCGCTTCTTTAAAGGGCTGCGCTTTCCCCAGCGCACCCTGGCCTAAGTAAGACACTCTCACCCGTGTCGTTGATGCTTGATGATTTTCTCCAGAATCGAGTCCTTGTTGGAGAAGTCGACACCTTCTGACGGGGCCCTGATCAGGATGCACGCAGGGTTGTACCTAGAGTAGGGTTTAGGGTCTAGGGGCAGCCGGGTACATACATATTCAGATACCTACATTCCTACGTACCTTCGTACCTACATACATTCATTTTCGCAGGAGGGTGTGCCCACATACATACACATCAGATTTTCTTTCTCGAGTGTGATGTACTGATGCACGACACATGTTTCTTCGCCGAATCTCGAAACCGGTTTTGTTTTTGCAGGTTCACGTGCGCGCCCCCCTGGCCAACTTCAATGGATCTTTTCTTTGCTACAACAACATCATGAGGCATGAAGAGCATCGGGGAGCATCAGTGAGCATCTTTTTTCACGGCTTCGAGCTATGCTATCAAACGGGAAGATCAGCAACCCAAAATCGAAGATCAGAGCTTCAATGATGTTAAACCGAATGAGATCACTCCATCACTCAAACATCAACCCAACCTTACGTCCCGACACCTAAGCTCCCTAAGCGAACAAATGCAACCAAAAATAAGTATACGTGTATGTGTTTTCTTCTCCCAATGAAGTCTCATCACCATGCTTTTTTGATCGAAAGTCTCCCAAGCATTGGGTCTGGGGTTGGTTTGGGTGGGGTGGTGCCCTGTTGTTTTTTGAGCCAGAATCAACCCCCAAAAAAGGCACAGAAACCATGACAAAAGGCACAGATGTGATGAAAGGCTCATAACAGCTCCGGTCCCTATCCGTACACGCCAACCCCCCCCCTCTACCGGACCATACCATTGGGCCATTGGGGGTTGGGGGGGGGGGGGCTGGGACCAGAAACCTGACCATGTATTTTTCGTCGCACGGGCACGGCTGTCCGAGGGCTTCAGTTTCTGAAACCAGTGCTGTATAGTGACTGCAGTGCAGTTGGGCGATGCTGTCAGTTGGTCCGCGGGCTGAAGTACCTCCACTCGCACCAAATCGTGCACAGAGACTTGAAGCCGGAGGCGCCCGCGGCGTTTTCCGGCGCGTCTCTGTTCGTCCGTCAGGGGGGTGTGCTTTCAGGATGGAAGGTTTGGTTGGCTATTGGTGTCGAGTTCTTGCTAAGCTTGTGAGGAGATTCTTGCAACTAGCTTGCGGTTTCTCTCGGAATTTATGATGGTTGCTCATCTTGCTGCAGCACCTCGTCGACTAAGCTTCATTCCCGCAACAGTTCGATGTAGCTCGGTGTGGTCTTGGTGTGGCAGCGGCCGCTGCGGTTTCGACGGTCGATGTGGCCAACACAAGCACAAGTTCGATCGTGCTTTGTGAGCGTGTGCAGAACTTGCTGGTCACGCACGACGACGTGCTGAAAATTGGAGACTTCGGATGGTGCCGGACTTACGACGGAGTGTGGCGGACATGGCGAAAAACAAGCCGTTCAGTTTTTGAAAGTATGTAGAACAGGCTACGAGCCATTTTGGAGTAGGTGCGCTGCCACGAACGTGCTCCGAACCACGTTTTGTGGCACCATGGACTACTTGGCGCCAGAGATGATCCAGGTGGGAAGATGTTGGAAGCTTTCGGCGGTGCACGTTTTTTCGAAAGGCCACTCATCTCATCATGTCATAGACACCGTGAGCCGTTTGGGATACCCCGAGGCTTCTCGATCAGTTTCGAAGGATCATCGATGCGTTTCGTGCTTCCCTCCACAAACATGCGCCATCTACCTGTGCGTAGCTTCATGTGGGTTTGAGGTTTGGGGTAAGCGAAAGCAAATTGGAAAGGGAAGTGGGCACAACCACACCCTCGACATCTGGAGCGTCGGCATCCTGCTGTACGAAATGATGGCCGGTTGCTCAGATTTTGAGGTGAGTACCGTGGACACAGACATTCGCAGCGTCGATTATTCCTCCAGCCATGTCGCCACTGCTTCCCAGAAGTGCCGTGATGTTCGGCTCGTCCGCTTACGCGAGGTTGGGCGTCCGCCGTTTCAAAGCACCAACCACACGATGCTGATCGACAGGACCTTTGGAAGGAGTATTCTACGCTGAACTGAAGAAATCCAGCAGTGCTTTATGATAATTTCTTAAAAGCCTGCCGTTTATCGACAGCCGGGATTGCTTGAATTGTTCAGGATCCTGAAGATTGCCATCTTCTTTCCTGCTGGGGCCTTGCGGGAGTCCGGGGCGGCACCTCAAGCATTGTTGTCGTTCTATTCTTCGAGTGAGTGCACTCAATCGGGTTCAACCGCTCAGCCTGGCTTGCCTCCGCTGGTGGTGGACCTCGTGCGGCGTCTGCTGAAGCGGGCCGCGGCCCAAGCTGACAGGGTTTCGGTATGTTTCGGTTTCTTGCTGAAGACTGCCGGCTCAACGCCTCCCGAGGACCCGGCACAGCGCCTGCCACTGGAACAGGTTCTAAGGCGATCCTGAGACTGAGATCGGGCTTCTTCATCGGATCTGCGACCGGACCGGTAACTGTTGAGGCATCCCTGGGTCGTCGGCACCGGCGAGGCGCAGTGTTTCCAAGACTACGACCGAGTGTTCGCCTTTCCCAGTGGTTTTTGGAGTTGGAGGCTGCCACACCGCCTTCCGATGCACCGGTCTCCAACAAGTCGGAGTGCCCGGAAAAAGACAGTCTTCGATGGCTCTTCTCGTTGTCTCTGGAGAGGTCTGGGGTCTTAGGGGAATCCCGAAGTTGAGCTCCTGGCTGCCCTGGCTCGGCTCGCCGAGGCAGCTGCCTTCCCAACCCGGCACCCCGTCCTGTGCCTAGCCGCTGGGAGCGGGTCTAGAGTCTAGAGGGCCCAGCATGACCTCGACCCAGCTCTGCAGTGAGGCCTTCGAGCGGCACAGGGGCGACGAGCAAGCACTTGCCGCTGCAGCTCGGCTGCAAAACCGGACCCAGACCCCTGCTGCTTCTGCTTGGGAATGTGCACGGAGGCAGAAGAATGGCCGCGTTCCTTCGTGCGAGAAGGTTCGCTCGGCCTGTCTAGAGTCCAGTAGAGGCGGTTGATAAAGAATCCTCTTTGCAGGTGCGAAACATGGCCTCTCCGCGCCACCGAGCATCAGGCCCCGGGGAAACAGATGCAGGAGGCTGTGGGGTAGTTGAAGTCGGAAATCGCTGCTGCAAGGAGAAGCGCAGACGAACGAAAGATCTGCTGCCTCCACGCCTGTGCTTGTCGCTTAGATCTCTATGTCACGGTGGGATTGCCAGAGTTGACACGGCCTTCAGGTCATCTGCCGCAGCACCGGTGCAGCCACAGGCAGGAAGATTGTGTGACTGTGCTTGAATTTGCATCGGTTGCCAGTGGCCTTGCTGAGGGCTCGCCCGTGCTGTCCACGCCCAAGATGCCTCACCGGTCCGAACAGGCGGGCTGCCCAGAAGGAGCGCCTGCTGGTTGGCTGACGTGACCTTGCTCAACCACACGAACTGCTTGCACTGAGGCTGTGCGCAAGCCTGCGTGGTGCTGGGCTTGGACGTGTCGGGTGGCGCTTCCCGCAAAGTTTCCGTAGACTTCGTCGAGAAAGGCCGACGCAAGCAAGTGGCTACCAGGCAGTTTGGCGAGATAGTCAGCTTGTGTTGTTGAGCTGCCTCCGACACATGACTAGATGGATTCTCGTAGAGGCGCACCGACCTCTCGCCAGCCCCACTGGAACGCCAGTTCTCACACGTCGAGGACTGTTTGACTCCTGGACAGCCGTGAGTCTGGTGGTTTCCTGTCTCGTAATCTCCCGAAGCGCCGTGTGGCCATGAATCAGTTGGGAATGGTCTTGACCAGTCTTGGCTGCATGACATCCCACTTTCTCCAACACCCGCCGAGAGGAGTTGCTCCGGTTTCGGGGTATCCCGGCAATAGCTTTGCCGCCACAAGGGCAGCGGGTGCCCTGGAAAATTTCGAGCTGTGCTGGCTCTGAGCTAAGAGACACCAAGGCGGGCCAGAACCTCTCGCCAGCAGCCCCGGCCCGTGCTGTTGGAGGTGTGAGGGTTAGGGTCATCCTTAGCCTTAGGCCTGCAGAATCCATGAGGTTGCATGCATTGTGACCGCATGAGGCGCCCTGTTGCGGGCGCCTCTTCATGTGTGGGTCGTCCGAAAACGGAAGCGCTTGTGTAGGTGAAGCATCCACAAGGCCCTCTGCCAGCTGTTTTGTCATGAGCTCGGGAGGTGGGTCACATGTAATCAGCTGCCGTCTGTTTGAACCGTCCGTGGTTCCGATCGGAGAGAGTGGACAGCATGTGAAAGCATATTCATAGTAACCAGAACCACCAACTCTCACGAAGGCACTTGAGGCCAATCTGCCCCGTTGGCATGGCATTGGCAGTACGGAACCACCGAGCCCCCTGCTAGCTGCTTTGTGCAGGCAGTCTCGACGTCAAAGCCCTGATGCCCGTACGAATGGGACGCTACCTCAGGCATATTTTCAGGACAGTCGCCGCATCTCGCCGACCAGCCTTCCCCGTCGCCAGCTCCCGCAAGTCCTTGCATCTGTCCGCAGATGATTCCGAAGTGAATCCCAGGTCTCAGACAACCTCCACGTCGGTGCCACCACCTGACACCAGGACCTCCAACCGCGTTGCAGTACAGGGTTCCATCAGGGAAGAGGATGGGATTGACAGTTTGGTCTCTGCCTTTCGCAAACCAGTCGAGTTCAATGTAGTGTATGGAGACTTGCAAGCAGGCAGACGGTCAGTGCATGTCGGGTCTTTCAGAGGCTGCAGGATTGGCAGATCCAGCCAACCAACAGCTCCCAAGTCGACTGCGACCGGCTTGACGCGTACGTGCCATGTCTCATTCACGTCTGTGAGGAACGGGCACGTTGAGCTCAGCAGGACAATGACTTACAAGGCCATCTGAGTCTGAGTAGGCTTTCGGGAGACTGGTGAGTGCAGTCTGCTTAGCCCTCCATCCACGATCCGAATCTCGAGATGACTTGCGCAGGTCCCATCCCCACCCACCGCCAGCCTTGCTCTCAGTCCTGAGCACGACACATACGGCACGCCCTGCTGACTGCATCCGGGTTCCTGACGATTGCCCCGTGCATGAAGAGAGATTTTGTTTTTGCCGGGAAGCTTTGAGACCGCACCATCGTGCCAAGGCAACAAGCAGCGAGGGTCTCAGACATGGCCATGGCATCCTTAGGACATCCTGAAAAGTGCGCATTGAAGCAATCTCACAAAAGGAGAAAGATGCAGTTGCATGGATCCTCTGATGTCCAAACAGGCTTACGGCCTCGGTTCGACCCGTGTATTCCAGCCGTCCCGTACGAGCAGTGAGGGCCCCAGATTCTAAACCCGTGCTTTCCACTCTTCGTGCGCTACGCCCTCAAAGCTTGGAAGGAAATATCAATCAGCAAGCCTCCAGCTATCAGCGCTTCAGGTTATGCGCATGGTAGCCTGCTTCGAGTCTTGCGACCTGAGAAATGTCTACAAGGGCAACCTTCTCTTATCCCCTGAGCTATGAAGCCATAAGCCCAACAATCCCAGACTTAGCTTCGGTCTGCATCGAAGACAAACTAAGCTAAGGTCGATGCACGGAGGGATTCCACAACAAAAGCTTCTCACAACCCCATTTAGGGAAGCTCGCCCAATTTTGTGAGCACTTCTGCTCAGACGGGCTCGCCACAAATTGGCTCACCGATGGTCGCACGCAGTCTCAGCGGGTGACTCAGACAAGGACGTGCATAGGGGCAAGCAGTTGGATGGCCGTACTGAAGCAGTTAGGAATGCTTAGTGGAGGGCCGTAGAACATGTTTGTGCCTGCTGCGCGGCGCAACACGACGCCCATCTGAGGCCCCGTGAGCCAAAGTGTCCGGGCAATCGCTGGTCAAGGTGTCCTGAAGTGTCCCAAAGAGATGCGGGTCTCTTGCCTTGCCTTTCCATGCCTTGCCTTGCACTTCTACCAGGAGCTCCAGGAGTCGCGACCGTCCAAAGCATCGCCAGTGTATTGCGTCCCTGCCCTGTACGGGACTTGGATGTGATTTGAAAGAAATGCCGGTCGTGGTTCTCAGCCGTTCTGCGCCGAGGTCCGCATGGCGGGTACGGCAGTGCGCGCAATTTGACGCCGGCGAAGGGTGCCATCTGGCTGCAGGCTCGTTTCACGCTCGCCCATGCTCACAAAATCTACCAACATCGCCAAGGCTAAGAGATTAGATCTTGTGAGCTGAATTAGTCAGAGGCCCGCAGGGAGTTACATCATGCGACGTGCTTGTGTGCCAGTTCGAAGGCTCATCGGAGAAACAGAGATTTCGCAGAGTCAGCTCCATGCAGATTTGACTCTCTGCATGTGGCCAGCAGTGCGTGGTGGTTCTGTGAGAACGTCGAGGGTTCCGGACTCCGAGAGAAAGAGCAGACTGGGAATGTGATCTGGATCCCTAGACTTCGAATGCCTGAAAGCCGGTGCGGATCATCAGGCAGCTGTGCTTCACTTGAACTGTGGAGCTGCTGGCAGATGGACCCTGCGCTGGGGATCGATGCTGCAACGATGCGAGCCATCCTTGGGAAAGCTCCCGTCACAGAAGATCGCAGCGCCCTGCGCAAAGCCTTGTCTCCTTGCGCAAAACTCCAAGGACTCCAAGGAGTTCCAAGTACATGTAGCTCGTGAGACTCGGGCCAGTTTCAGTAGAACGACTCGCAACATATGAATGCACCGGTAAGTTTGCTGGCGGTTGATGATCCTGGCTCAGCCGTGGTAGATGCAGTTGCAGCTGCAAAGAGCATCGAAGAAACTGCGTTGCACGTGCGTCTGTCCTGCATACTGACTCACTGACTGTTGTGGATTCACTCTTCTGCAGCTTGGGCCATGGATCTGCATAGTTCTAGATTAGCCGGCCCCTTCCCAAACTTTCCCCGACGTCTCCGCACTGTAAAGCCTTGCAAACAGTCGCATCACTCAGTATCCCGTACTTTGGATCCCCATAATGGGAGTCAGACCATGGTGCTGCGGCTCCTTGAGACCCTGCATGCACTGTTACACACGAGTTCCGGATGTGTCCCGCAAGGGGCAGTACTCTTTCACGCTGTAAGCCTCAACTCGTTTGACAGCCATGGGGGGTGTGCTGGTCCGTGCCTCGGAAACGGCTCTCTCCTTGCGCTGCTTGATCTTCTCCCTGGCTGGCGTCTTTGCTGTTTGTGGGCTCGTCTAGGTTTCGGATGGCTGAACCAAATTGACTTTGCATCGTGATACCTCGCTATCCCTCGCAGGACAAGCCGATTACCCGGAAGAGCTCCGAAAGCGGTGTCGACTGCGGGCCACTGCGCTCCTCGGCCTTGAGCTAGCCTTCGCTGTTGTGCTCTTACACCGTGAAGTCATTGGGGCAGATGTGGCCGAACAGGGTTATCGTCATGCGGGTGTCAGGGGACCAGCATCAGCACTGTTTTGTGCGTGAGTTCCGCTCAAGGCCTCACCTGGGCAGCGAGTGCCATGTGACTTGCCAGAAAGTTTGGGTCCGTAACTCCCGTCCTTGCTGGCGTTCGGTGGATGTCCACTCTGGGGTGTGGGAAAGTGCCAATGTAATGTCCTCCTAGCATGTCTAGGGCCAAAGCTCCTGCGGACGCTTGCGGAGAACCTATCCCACACTAGCCCAGGCAAGGCTGGCGGGTGTCCATGGAAGATGCCCACATCACCTTGCAGGACCCTCAGGAATCACTAAGTCTGCCTCGGCAGTTCCGCCGTGAACCACAAGATCAAGACTGCCAAGCCTCAACCCAGAGTCGAGGCCGGTCGTTCTGCCTCGGCGTGCCAGCTCAGCGGAGCCTCGGCAGACAAAGGAAGTTGCAACGGGCGGGTTCCGGTCCCGACCGAGTTCTTCTTCTGGATTCGGAGTGAGCAACGTCGAACAAAACTTGGATGGACAGGGAAGGGTCATTGCATCTGTCGCAGCTGCATCAACCAAACGCGTTGCGGGGGAATTGAACAAGAGGCCCCTTGGACTCAGACGGCCGTCTTTGGCGTGCTCGACGGCCACGGTGGGGCTCAGGTTGGGGCCCTGGCCGGACGTTCCATCTATTCCGTTGGCCTTTCTTTGAGACCTGAGGTGGCCAGATTTAGCAGCAGCCGCTTGCCGGAGGAGTCAGCCCCATGTACCGTACCTGTGCAGCCGATTCGAAAGCCCGTACAAGTAGCTGACGCTACTAGAAGCAATTGATTGATGACTTGTAGGAGTTGGCCAAGTTCCCCCTCAAGGAGGGTCCGGGAAAGCGGGAGCAGATGGAGGATGCAATGAAAGGCTTGGCAAGGGCCCTGCGCATAGTCGTGACGTCCCTCGTCTCTCGTTCCCCCGCTCTCGTCATCGCCCTGCAGGGTCTTTCCACAAAATCGACGACATGCTGCGAAGCGGCCACTTACTGAGCAGCCGATGGTCAGGGAATTCTGACCTGAAAGATGAATCCGCGCGTCTGCCAAGTCATGTTTGCGGCTGCAGCTGTCCTCTCAGCTGATGTGCCATCGGATCTCCCGAGGCCACTTTGCCGCAGAGCTGCTCGCCCTCACGAACCGGACAGCGCCGCCTGGGGCTGGTCCTCAGGTGCGTTCTCCTGCCCAGCGGCCACAGTACTGAAAGTAGGAGACCATGTGCATAGGCCATGATCCAGCCCCCGCGAAATGGGGATGCCCATAGCGCAGGCCGGTTGTGGAGCGCTGATTTTGCGTTGTCAACCTCCAAGTCAGGTTGCACCGCATGTGTGTGCTGCATTACGGACACGCAGATCATCACAGCAAATGCTGGCGACAGGCTCATTTATTCAAGCTATTGAATTTGAGAGCCAAGAACTGTGGAGTGATGACGAGGTGAGGTGAAGTGTCTGGAGTGAAGACCTAATCACGTAGTCTGCATCTGGGCATGGCCGAGATGCATCCTTTCCAGTTGTCAGATGTCGTCTTGACGGCACTTGGAGCTAATCACTTATATCCTTGACCTGCCCAGCCGCGCGGTGCTTTGCAGCGGTGGAGTGGCGATCCCTCTCAGCAAGGATGGGCCGCAAGTCAAAGTTGAAGATTTACGAACAACCTCCATGTAAAGAAGTGTAGCCTGACTATGTAACTTCTGAAGCCTTAAGTACGCCATCGACTTTGGCTCAAGATGAAAAAGGCGCCGCTGAGCTGTGCCTTCACGTTCAGGGCAGGATCCTTCTTTTGGGGTTTCCCTTCCCTTCCTCTCCTTTCTTACCCTAACATAGCGTTGTCTCTGTTTGGGGTCAGAATAACTGGTTATCAGCCGTAGTGTTCGTTCTTCCCTTTTGGTTTGGTGAAGTCCTTTAGAGCGTAAGTCTCTCCATGGATGCACCGGACCCAGATCGTTGGGAAAAGTGCGGTACGTAAACGTAAAGCGTACCAGCAGTACCAGCTGAATCTTCAACCGTTCCGATATACTTCCTTAGACGACGTACCAGTCCGTCACTCCGACGGCAGTCAGCGGCCGCTTTATTCGAAGCCGGGTTGGCGACCCATCTTTGAATCCGACAGCGAGCCCGAGGAAGAATTGGTTGAGGTTGAAATAGAAGCAGAGGAGCCGCCACTCATTCCAAAGGCGTCAGGGGCAGTGCCGGGATATCATAGGATTCGCACGCCACCTGCTCCTCCTGCGCCGCCTGTGCGGCCGTCGTCTTCGTCATCGGCGAGCGCAGTGGCTATAGCACCTTCTCAGGGTCCGTCGGCGAAAGTATCATCTTCAGCGCCTTCTGTTACAGCTTCAGTTTCTGGACAACGGTTGGCCCCTACGCCGAAGGTGAGGATTGCTCCCGCAGCGAAGACTGCGGCGGTGCCTAAGGTGTCTGTTCCGACTCCGCCGGCGTATCCTCCTGATCCTAAGGTTACAGCTCCGAAGACTCCTCCCAAGAATCCACCGAAGCCTCCAGCGTCAAGGCAGAGCCAGGAGAGTCAGGCTGCAGTGATCCCGAAGGTGCCGCCGAAGTCAGCCCTCACTTCAGATCCTATTGTTGACCTACCGAGGAGCGTCTTGTTGTATTCACCAGACACTTTTAGCAGGTGCAACTTCAGAGTCGAAGATAGCCAGCGGCTTGAGGGCAAGGTCGTCGTATTTGATTTTCACAACGTGATTGACCGATATTATTGGGCACCTCGCGTTGGACAGCGGAAGCAGCAGTATAAGATTCCTTACCCGAACGAGGCACCGGAGTTGCTCTCGGACGTTCAGGGTCTTCTTAGGCGTGTCCACAGAGCTGCAGAGGAGGCGGGAGCATTGGTGGTGATTTGCTCCCACATTGGTGAGGGATCCAGGAGCATCGAGGATTGGGCCTTGGACACCCTTCGAAACACCTTTATACAATCTGTTGGTCAACGCCAAGCCGATTTAGTCATCATCACTCGATCCCGCACAGGACGCCTCGGAAAGCTTGACATCTGTCGACGCCTTTTCCAGCAGCCATCGTTGTTGATAATAGACGATAACACGGGGATCTGTGAGGAGTGGAACAGATCGGCTAACGCTGCTGCGTTTCACATCCAATTGCCTCGGCGGGATCTGCCGTCAATTGGTCGTTCCTTTTCCTCGATTTTCGAGGCGGAACCTTCCATTTTGAATTGGATCTCTGGCTGAAGTGCTCAGCGTGTGCATTCGGACTTGGTGTGAAAGGCTGCCTTGCGCCACCACCTTGTCTTCGGCAGTTTGGTTTAGGGTAACTTTCAGGCTTCAGGGTACTTCTGTGTGGTCTGTTAGGCGCATTGCGCCACTGACCGGGGGTATCTGTGTGGTCTGATCGGCGCATCGCGCCACTGACCTGCCTTCCTGCTAGCGCACATCTGTCATCATGTCACAATCTCAATCAACCCCAACTGATCCAAGCTCATTGCTTGACATCTCCAGTGCCTCAGCAGCCGCGGTTCCGGGTATGAGGGATTCCTCTTGTGCTTCGGGTGGTTCAGAGAGTAGTTCAGCCTTGGTTGAACGCGAACGCTCACCTCCTGCCAACCGAAGAGCCTTAGCTCGGACTCCCAGGAAAGCTTCAGCCCCGTACCCAGCTGTCAATGCCCCTCTCGACGAATCTGGTATTCCTACTGTTGTTCATAACCAGATGCTCAACATAGGAGCCACGCCTCAGCAAGTCCTTGCTGCTCAGCAATTTGCTGCTGGTGAAGCTGCCAATCGAGTCGCCGCTCAGGCGGAGCTGCTACACCAGGCTTCTATCAGTGAGGTACAAGGCCAAGTCAGGGACGTGTTGACCGAAGCAGGGTCTGCTGTTGATCAGCTTCGGGAACAGCTTAGGCGTTCGGAGATTCGATGCGGGGAATTGTTTGAGTACGGTCAATATGTTGAACGTCAGCTCGCAGAGGCAAAGGCGGAGTTGAATATGTTGAATTTTCAGCTAAATCAAGTCCGGGTAGAGTGCCAGATCAAGGAGAGAGAGATTCAGAGGCTCCGGTCGGCTGCTCCATGCGCCTCGACCTCCGGATCTCCTCCTAAGCCACCGAAACCCCATGCTCCGCTAGGCGGTTCCGGGTCTGGTGCTAGTGAAGCGTCATGGACTCACCTTGAAGCTTCCGATCCTCCCACTCAGCATCTGCTGTACTCGGGTACCTTTGTTCCTCCGCCCGCACCTTCATGTCCTGCTCCTCCTCAACCCACGTCTCCTGTTTCAGACCCTCGCGTGGACCAGCTGATTGAGGTAGTCCAACAGTTAGTCCAACAGGTCGGTCAAAATGCTACGGGTATTGTTGAGACCAATGAAGATGATGAAATTGAGGATCAAGAAGCTGCCAAAGAGCTTCGGGAAAAGGACATTGTTGATCAAAGGGCTCTCTTACATCTCAAGCTTGAACCTGTCCCTTCAGATGCGGCAAGGTTTGGACCAAACTTGCTTTCATGCTTATGTCGGTAAAACACAAGCTGGCCAAGGATCAGCTTTCTGATGTGAACATCATCCCTGCCTGAGTCCTCGATGTTGAAATTCCACCTACAGAGCGACTCATCTTGCGGTGAAGGCAACGTCAGATTCAGGGCGATGGCACCGTAACGACAAGCAACGGGCCACAACTCGGGACGGATCGAAAACCCAGCTTCAAGGAACGATGATCTCACACCTTCTTGGAAAGTCCTAATCTCCCGCTCAAGTTGAGCGTTGTGGGGAAAGCGATTAGGCAAGGATGGCGAAGAGATCCATCCCATTTCTTCTGCTGCGGCTTCGAATTCATCAGCTGCATCAGACACTAAGGTCACAGGCTTTGAGCAAGCTCTACGTCCAACAAACTTCCTCAGGGCAGTCACAACAGCGTTGGTCGAACGATCATTCCCAGGATAAGCTGCAAACAGACCAGTGTACTTGTCCCTCAAGCACAACACAACATAGGACTTGTCCGGAGCATCGGAGTCGTCTGGCGATCTAAACACGTGAATGTGATCAGCGGCAATGACTTCTCCAAACTCTAAAGCTTCGAACGGATCAGGCTCTTCCTCGGCATCACGAGGCTTTCTGCGCACGCGCCTTGATAGCATGCGAGCTTGATTACATATGTCACAGAAGGGATTCTTCGGGAAGTGAAACAACCTGTGCTCAAGCGACATGGCCTGATCTCTGAGCTTCCGAATCCTTTCGGGAACCTTATCCTCTGCTCCATCATCCTGTTCAACTTCACCTACGCCTTCCGCAGATGCATCAGCGCCAGGTCCTTCGGGTGGCGCATCAGCAGCCGAACCCTCGGGAGCCTCAGCAGCATATGCTCTTCACAAGAGTCGATTGGAAAACCCAGAGCACGGAGCTCTTCACAGTGCGAATCTTTGACTTCAGAAGGATGCTTTGCAGAGAACAAGACAACCACAACGCGATCTCCTTTCCACGGCATCGTGGCATGGATGCAGCTCTTAGCTCGGAACCGAATGACACCGTTCTTGAAACTAAGAACCTTTCCAAGCTTTGTCAGGATCACCAGGACACGGAGTTGTCCCCCCTGATTCTTCAACCCATACACCTCCTCCTGAGAATCCACCTAAGGAGATGACGGCATTATCAAGGTTGGCATTGTGGAAGTCTTTGTGGGGACCCGTCGTAACGTTGCTGAAAATGCAGAGGGTCGTATATCCGAAGCCGGGAAGCTTCGAACATGCAAACTTGTTGAGAGCTTTGGTAACCAAAGGAAACCGGTGGGCGGAAGTCCTAAGTCCAAGATTCCCGCCCAACCGATAAAGTCCAGTTGAGAACGATTCCCCATGATCACCTCTAGCAGCAGGTTCCTTGTCAACCAAACCGAACAAATTGCGAACCGCACGACAGCTGATGTTGCCGCCAGAGCTCAACATTTGTCGGGCTCGTACTTCAGCAGGATGGTGCTCTGAGCTTTGGATGGCGCTTGGGATAGCAGCCGGACCCACGCTCTCGAGCCCCCCTGAAAGGTCACTTACAGGGTTTGGTGCCCCATGAGTAAACCTCACCTGACTGGTAAAAATAGGAACATGCTCTTCAACGCGAGTTGCATAATGTCTGTACTTCTCAGGACATTGAACAACGAGTTGCGAAACGTCACTGACGAAGAAGGGCAAACTACCGGGCAGCCAGATGAAGGCCTTCCCAGAATCAACATCAATCCCTGTGCTTCTGACCAAAGGGCAACTGTCTAACATGTAATGATTAGCAAAATCCATGTTGTCAGACTCGAAGCCAAGGGTCTGCACACCAGGTTGGGGACCACCGCCGGTATGAAACGTCACGGGAGACTTAGACGCACCTAAGAACCGATCATAGGCGTCACGCGGAATCCCTTGGTCAAACAAGGCTTTGGCCGAACCTAAGTGACGACCAGCAGCAGTGTCAGCGGCCCATTCAACAGCATAGGATGGACCAGCAGAGATAACAGGAGTACACAAGCTAGAAGCAGCAACAAGCGCGACGACAGCTTTGGCTACTGCTCCAGGTTTGCTCTTGGCTCCATCTTTCGCTTTGGCTTTCGACTTCGGCGGAGCAGCCTTGTGACTAAACTTACAATTATCTCCATGAATGCAACCGGACGGCATCTGGAAGAAAATGCAAGGCGTCTTGGCTTTCTCAGCATCAGTCATGGCTTTCGCCTTAGCCTTAGCCTTTGATTTGGCTTTCGCGTTTGCATTGGGCGCTGGGGCGCCAGGAGCAATCGGTGGAGGAGGAGGATCTGCCTTGGGCGGAGCACCTTTCGGAGGTGCGGCAGGTGGGGAAGCTTTAAACTTACCATTTCCTCCATCTACAGCAGGAACAGCCTTCGTTTTCGGAGCGGGTGTGGCAGATTGCAGAGACTTCAGCACAGACTGCACGTTGGAGTCCTCACGGTCCTGCACGATCAGATCCTGAATCTTATCCCACAAGTAAGACCACTCACGCCTATACGAAGATGCCCCAGATTCCCTGATGTCCTCAATAACGCGCTCAAGCTTGCGAATGTGTTTCACTCGATGGAAGAGCCATTCACCGGTGAGGCGATCATCAGGCCGTTGCCCGACCGGAATTGCACTGAGGACGAGGCGAATACGATTCACAAAGTCTCTCAAGTCCTTTATGGAACTTCCACCAAGTTCGATCTGAAACAAGGTTGATGCAGTCAGAACAGAACCTCTTACCCGATCGAGGTCGTAATGTCTTGCGATGATAGACAACATCACTCGACCTTTGGGCGATTGGCCAAGTTGACTACACCTTTCAATGTAAGCAGTGATATCTTGCTCAAGTTCAGAGGACTGCTTCAACACACGCCCTGATGACAGCTCACCAGCTATCCATGCATCGAGACGAGGAAGAAGCTCCGAATCTTGCAAATCAGCTCTCTCAGCATCAAAGCCTCTGGAAATCCAAGCCAACACAAGACCTTGACCCGAAGTATCAAGCTTGGACAACTGAACCTTGAAACCATTCTTCCAAGTTCTGAAGCTCCGGGCGTGTTCGCAGGGTGGAGGTTAGAACCAGGTGGCATCTATCGTTCAGTGACCCTTGTGCTTGACTTAGAAAAGCTTCGTTCCAAGATTGGTGCTTGGACTGAGCCGATCAGCGTTCCGGAGGCTGAGCTTTATGTTCGGTCCGGTGACCCTGTGTTTCCCCTTCGCAACGCCGCAGAGCACGCATTGCTGACATTTGCTGATGAAGGCGAGGTGCCTGCTCAAGAACCTCTTCCGATTCCTTTCACGCCGCATGTGTTCACAGAACAGGGTGAGAGGAAAAAGCTTCGTAGGATTTACATCACGTATGCTAGGTTTCGTAAGATAGGTCCCACACCGGGGTGCTATGCTTGCGACAACGACAAAAGCAATCACAATGCTGAGTGTATTGCGAGGTTTGAGAAGGCGTTCGGTAGAGAAGCTAAAGCTCCCGAGACCCCAGTTCCCAAAGAGTTCTTGTCTTACGAGGAGCTCCAGCTACCTAGGCCTCCTGCCCGTCCCGACGGAGATCATCTCTCCGATTATGAACCGTCTGAGGCTGGTCTCGAAGGTCCTCTCGCATTGCCTGCCATGTATCGACACCAGAAGCCTGGAGCTCTTGTGTTGATTGAAATCGCGTCCCATTCGCGATCCAATCTTGCCGGTATTGCCAAACGGTCAGGCATTCAAGTTGTCTCGATATCATGCGACCGCGTTGATCTGTCTGATCCGGTTGTCATCGATCAGCTCATCAGCCAAGTGTCTGCTGTGCCGGGATGCTGCTTAGTCGGTTCTTTGCTGGGGGACGGATGGGGAGCGAAGTACTCTGGGTACGTTCACTGGAAAGCTCAGAGGACATTGCTGAGTTTTCTTCAGGTTGCATCAGTCATCGTTTCCAATGGTGGCGAGGTTTCTCTCGAATGGCCGCAAGATTCCACGTGCTGGTTGCTTCCCGAGGTTCAAGCCTTTGAGGATCAATTCAGCCTTCGCAGAGTTTCGTTCAAGGGTTGTGCTCTAGGTATGGTTTCGACATCAGGAGCTCCGTTTGACGCTCCATGGCAAATCATGTCTTCGAGCAAACGGCTTGTCGAGAACTTCAAACCTTTCAAGTGCACTCATGCCTCACATGTCAAGCATTGCTCATCGAGTACGCTTTGGCCACGGGTAGCATTCTATCCTGAGGCATTCCACAAAGTGCTGCTCATGTCTCTGTTCCCTTTTGCCGAAGCGTTTCAGACGCCAGCGCTCCCATGTGTTCCTTCCTTGCCACAGTTCCATCGCGAAAAGGATTCTAAACCCAAAGTTCCTCTTGATGTTCTTATGCATGAGTCTGGGATGAAAGAGGTTAAGCTTCCGGGTTTAGTTCACCGCCTTCTCGATAGAAAAGAATGGTCGGGGCAACCAGGAGCCTACGAGGCAATAAAGAAAGAGAAAGATGGCCTTGTTGATGTTGGGACGTGGCTTGAAGATGAGATAGTGTCCAAAAAGGATGTTCTTGCATGGGCTACTAGGACTTCTAATGTGATCCACTTCGGAAATTTGATGGTCATTTTGTCCGTAAAAGGATCTGAGCTGAGTCCTGATCAGTGGCGCCTCAAAGCAAGAATCGTCTTCAGGGGTGATGATATCAGGGACCAATCCGGCATGTCTGCTGTATTTGAAGAGCTTTTTGCATCATCCCCATCTTCACTTGAAGGGTTGAACACAGCGGTTGCCTTCGGTTTGCTGGAGTCCCATGGCGTGACGACCAGCGATGCCGTACGAGCTTACACACAAGCCAAGCTCAAGACGAAGCACCGCACGTACGTCCTTCTACCTCCAGAGCTAGTCCCGCTCGACAAGAAGCACATATTCCAACCATGCGCGCCCCTGCACAAAGCGCTGTATGGGCACCCCGAAAGTTCCGCCTATTGGCAGCAACATCTCCACGAGATTTTGGTTAAGCTAGGCGGGGTTGAGTTTCCCAATCTCCCATCGGTTTATTATTTCAAGTCCCTAGGATTAGTCTTGTGTGTCTACGTAGACGACTTGACTTTGTCTGGACGTCTGTCCCTGCATGACGACTTCTGGCGCTCCCTCTCCAAGGAGGTTGAGCTCGAGCCGTACGCTGCACTGTCAAGGGTACTTGGAAGATGCCACAGATTCGTGTGCTGGCAAGAAAAGAAAGCACTAGCACTTGAATCAACGGATTTCTCAAAACAGTGTGTTCAATTGTACGAGACTGTATGTTCGCTTAAGGTTAAACCTCAGCTTACTCCCCATCTTGACATTAGCACACTACCTGCCGCAGACGACGATTGCCGCGGGCAACTTACCGAAGTTGCCGCAAAAATCTTCTGGACTGCCAACGCTTTGGTGAGAGGGTCGCCTCTCTGCTCACTCGTGTGGATATACTCCAGGATGACATTGGAGTTGTCATTGACATATTCACAAGTCGATGACACGTTTACACGGTGGGTTTTGCCTAAATGGCGAAGTTTGGAACTAAATCCCTTTCTGACGATAGCAATGCAAGCCTGATTATCCTCGTAGATATGCAAGCAGATCCCGGGGATGAGGGCCTCCCAGACTTCATGTAAGGGAATTGCATCGTTGTACAGAGCTCCACTTAGTGAAACGAACTCTGCTTCAGTACTGGAACGAGACACGACCTTTTGACGTTTACTCGACCATGATAACAAAGCGAAGCTTCCTGGGCCTTCGATAGCCAACACGTACCCGCTGGTGGACCGGGACGTGTCGATGCAGCCGGCGAAGTCGGAGTCACAGTAGAGGGACAACCGTAAATCCGAAGGAGAATCGCTGATGCACAAAACCAATGCGTAATCGACTGAATGTAGAATGTAACCGATCAATCGATGAACCCGACGGTCATCGTTCTTGGACCAGCTGCAGACGTGCGAAGCAAGCGTTGTAACTGCCACAATCAAGTCGGGCCGACTTAACCTTGCAAGCCATAACACCTTCATTAAATGGTCTCATGCGCTCCAACTGTTGACAATGTCAACTTCCGTTCTACCCTCATATAGCTAAGCTTGGGTTGGATTGGATGTTAAATCGGGTTAAGATGCTGAGCACTTTATGCCCACGAAGCTGAGCTTCACATGTCAAGACCTCCTGGGTGTTTGGCTGCTCCTAGCGCCGCACCAGGATGGTCGTGGAATCAACCGTCACTGACCGTGTCGTGACACATCGGTCAAGAAATCAACGGCAGGTTGTTTTCCTCAGTTCATTAATTCAGTGGATCCACGTGCATTGTATAGTATGTCAGCTTTTGCGATGCAAGAATGTACAGATGTTTCAAGTCAGGAGGGGGGAGTTGAAGATTTACGAACAACCTCCATGTAAAGAAGTGTAGCCTGACTATGTAACTTCTGAAGCCTTAAGTACGCCATCGACTTTGGCTCAAGATGAAAAAGGCGCCGCTGAGCTGTGCCTTCACGTTCAGGGCAGGATCCTTCTTTTGGGGTTTCCCTTCCCTTCCTCTCCTTTCTTACCCTAACATAGCGTTGTCTCTGTTTGGGGTCAGAATAACTGTCAAAGCAGAAACTTGCCACAAGGGATGTGGAGAGCGCAGAGATGTGCGGAATGAGAGATCGTATAGTGCTTTTTTTGTCACTGTCTCTGAGGCTCTGAGGCCCTAGGCCCCAGATTCCCTTAGTCAACAGGACCACAAGCCGAACGATGCCGGCGAGAAGCGGCGGATCCAGGCCGCCAAGAGGGTGGTACAAGCCTTATTCCTCAACTTCGCGCGGTTCCGTCAACCAAGATTCCGTCAACCGCGCTTCCTTCAACCATGTTCCCCGCTTCCCTCAACTCAGATCGTGCCGATTCTTTCAACCCGCATCGCCCGCTTCCCTCAACTCCCGAGTCTGTCAACCCCCATTGCCCGCTTCCATCAACTGCTCATTCCGTCAACTCCGCCCCCGCCCGCTTCCGTCAACACTACACTGCAATCTAAGCATTTCGCCCGCTCTTTTGCCAGTCTCGCATTGACAAATAGGGCAGACGTAAGTTAGTTTAAACATTTGTAGGTTTTATTTAGTTTAACACAGGAAAGCAAACTTTCGCAGTCTTTAGTTTAAACACAGAAAAACACATTTTCGGAGTCGCGCGTAGGCACCAGTTAGTTTAGACATGGAAAACAAACCGTTTATAGGGTTCATTTACTTGAAACACAAAAAAACAAACCTTCGGAGTCCCGGGTAGGCGCAGGTTAGTTTAGACATGGAAAACAAACCTTTTGTGGCGTTTATTTAGTTTGAACACAGAAAAACACATTTTCGACGTCCCGGGTAGGCACCGGTTAAATTAAACATGGAAAACAAACCTTTTGTAGGGGTTATTTAGCTTGAACACAGAAAAACAAACTTTCGGAGTCCCGGGTAGGCGCAGGTTGGTTTAGGCATGGAAAACAAACCTTTTGTAGGGTTTATTCAGTTTAAACACAGAGAAACAAACTTTCGGAGTCCCGGGTAGGCGCAAGCTAGTTTAGACATTGAATTCAAACCTTGAATTGGGTTTATTTAGTTTAAACACAGAAAAACCAACTTTCGGAGTCCCGGGTAGGCGCAAGTTAGTTTAGACATGGAAAACAAACCCTTTATAGGTTGTATTTAGTTTAAACACAGAAAACAAACTTTCGTAGTCTTGTTTAAAGACAGAAAAATCAAACTTTCCGAGTCCCGGGTAGGCACAATTCGTATGGCTTCTTTTTCTGTGTTGGAAATTTGTGTCGTTTTCGCTTTATATCATTTTGGTTGTCTTAGCTTTTTTACCTTTCTAAAGCGATTTCGTATGGCTTCTCCGTTGTACTTCATTTACCTTTTTCTTCGCTCTTGACCCCCCTGAAGCGAGTTCGTGTAGCCTCTTCGTTCGTGTTGGAAAAGACGTTTTTGTGTACTCTTCAGCTATACAGTATTTACTTTCTTTTCTTCGCTTTTAACCCCTTGAAGCGAGTTCGTGCAGCTCTCCTTCTTATTCTTGTAGGAAAGACAAGCTCCACTTTTCTTTTCTTTTTGCCTTCCTAAAGGGATTTCGTGTGGCTTCTTCCTTGACGCTGATGAAATGTTTGTGCTTAGTTTTCGGTTGTACCTCATTTATTTTCTTCTTCGCTCTTAACCCCCCTGCAGCGATTTCGGGTAGCCTCTTCGTTCTTCAACCCCCTGAAACGATTTCGTGCGGCTCGTCTTCTTCTTGTAGGAAAGACGAGCTTCACTTTTCCTCTACCTTTCTAAAGCAATTTCGTGTGGCTTCTTCCTTCATGTTGATGAAATGTTTTGCTTTAATTTTCGGTTGTACCTCATTTGCTTTTTTCTTCGCTCTTCACGCCCCTGGAGCGATTTGGTGTGGCCTCTTCGATCGTGTTGGAAAAGACGTTCGCTTCGGACTTCCTGAAACGATTTCGTGAGGCTCTTCTTCTTTTGTAAAAAGACAAGCGCCACTTCTTTGTTTAGCTTTGTACCTTTCTGAAGCGGTTTTGTGTGGCTTCTTCCTTCATATTGATGAAATGTTGTTTATTTACTTTGTTCTTCGCTTTTAGCCCACCTAAAGCGATTTTATGTGGCCTCTTCGTTTGTGTTGGCAAAGACGTTTTTGTGTAATGTTCTGCTATACAATGTCGAATCTTGTTCGTCGCTTCTGACCCCCGGAAGCGATTTCGTGTGGCTGAATTCTTCGTGTTGGAGATAACGTTTTCAATTAGTTTTTGGTTATGCAGTATTTACTTTCTTTTCTTTGCTTGTAACTCCGTGAAACGATTTCGTGCGGCTAATCCTTGTAGGAAGGACAACCTCCACCTTCCGAGTGTGTTCATCTTCCCTCGGAGTTTGTTTGGAGTGTGTTTTTCCTTGGACCAACAAACCGTTCCCCCCAGAGTTTGTTTTCTGTAGGAAACACAAAACCCTCCCCCCAGAGTTTGTTTTTGTAGGAAAAACAAATCCTCCTCTACCCCCGCGCCGCCCAAACCACTCCCCCTAGCATCACTGAAACAAACAAACTTCTCCCATAGGAGTTTGTTTTTCACCGCTGAAACAAACTCACCTGGTCAGGGTTTGTTTGTACCCGCTGAAACAAACTCGTCGAGACGGAGTTTCAAGTTGGTTTGTTTTCCTCGCCTCCCCAACCTGGCTCTTCGTGACCCAACCAAAAGATGATCCGCAAACGTTTGTTTTCTTCCGGCGAAACAAACCCAACCCCTCCTCCCAGTGTTTGTTTCTTTTTGCGGAAAAAACAAACTCGCCTGGACCCCCCCCCTTCGGAGTTTGTTCTTCCTAGTGAAAACGAACCCCTCCCCCCAGGGTTTGTTTTCTGTAGGAAACACAAAGCCCTCCCCCAAAGTTTGTTTTTTGTAGGAAAAACAAAGCCCTCACCCCAGAGTTTGTTTTCTGTAGGAAAAAACAAACTCCCCTGCACCCCGCCTTCGGAGTTTGTTTTCCTAGTGAAAACAAAATCCTCCCCGGGGCACAAGAATCCGCGTGTTTGTGGTTGAGTAAGTCCTCGTGGCTGGGGTAGCACGCGTGTCTGTAGTTGGAGCGACTCTTTCTGTATAGGTTGAACGAAGCAGTTGTTTGGGTTGAAGGAATCATTCCCGGGGACGTGGTTGAGTGAATCTGCGTTGTTTGGGTTGAAGGAATCATTCCCGAGGACGTGGTTGAGTGAATCTGCGTTCTGAGGTTGAAGGAATCAGGTTTTGAGGTTGAAGGCATCCGCGTTGGCGGGTTGACAGAATCCGCGGGCAGTGGTTGACGGAATAATCGGCGAAAAGTTGAAGGAATCCGCGCGCGACCCCAAGAGGGTTACACGCCCGGCATGCCATTGGGCAATTGACGCTGCGACGCCTCGTCAAAGTCTGCCGCCAGCCACGTTTTCGCAAGCGACTGGGAGGCGGCTGGTGGCTGGGTGGAAAGCTGCGGGCACGGGGCCCGGAAACAAAAGGAGCCAAGTGGCTCTTATCAGTATTGAAGTTCAGATGTTGCTTGCAAGGGCGGGGCAGCACCGCGTGAACGGCAATCTGAACTTGTCCCGTGCGCTGGGAGATCTGGAGTACAAGAAGGATCGTTCGTGAGCTTGACTGAACATCCGAATTGGCATCTCCGTGTAGCGACAGCAATGGCATCGGGGTAGGACACTTGTCTTCGGCAAGCCAACCTGCAAGTGCTCTTGAGAACACACGCTGATCTTGAAAGCCTATCTCGCAGGACACGTCTCGTCGTCCTGAGGAGCAGATCATCTGCTCCACCCCTGATGTCACTTTCAGGGCTCCTGGACTGCAAAGAGTGTGTTTACAAGGCCCTCGTTGGTTGGTCGTGATTGTCTTTGAAGTCGACAGCAGCAAGTTAGAGGTAGCTAAACGTGAATTGACAGACCTTTTGGATAGCTTCTTCTCAGGAGCGGGACCTGGAGAAAGATGAGAGCACCTGGCACACTTGGGTACAGGGCCACGATAGCATCTTCGAGACGGTCCCATAAACCTTTTGGGTCTATGTGTTGCAGGGTCTTACATGCCAGGTTCCTGCTCATTTGCTGTGATGGTGTGTGGGATGTGAAGACCAACCAGCAGGCCTCTTCTGGTGTCTCGCTGCTGGGTGTTCTGGCTCTGTGCATCCTCAGATGGCGTTCCGCACGTTCTTTTGGATGAGTGCTGCAGCATTGTCACCGTACCACAATGAACAAGATGAAAAAAGGCGTTTCAAACCTGTTGCAGCGACAGGCAGTTGACTTTGTGCGCAAGCGACTTCCTTCCGCAGACGATGCCACCGAGCCAGCCGAGCCCTCCCGGGGTGCAGGGGCTGCGCTGCTGCCTGCTGCAGTGCCCGTGCTTCGCGACCACGCCGACGACGACCACCACCACCCACCACCACCACCACCACCGCCGCCACCACCACCGCCACCACCACCACCACCACCGCCACCACCACCGCCACCGCCACCGCCACCGCCACCGCCACCGCCACCGCCACCGCCACCGCCACCGCCACCGCCACCGCCACCGCCACCGCCACTGCCACTGCCATTGCTGCTGCTCCTGCTGCTGCTGCTGCTGCCACTGTTACTCGTGTCATCGCATCATGCAAGTTTGTGAAAGGTTTGAGCAGAACACGAGAGGCATTTTCAGGTGCGCACTTTTGTTTGGGCCAAGGCTCTGGAGCATGCGCTGGAATCACTCCTGGACGATTGTGTTGGACACCTGACACTTGCGCATACCCGTGCAAAAGCTTGGTGCGATGATGTTGTTAGGTCTCGCCCGACCTTCGCGAGACCCACGGCTTGGGCGGTGACAACATGACTGCTGTCGTCGTGCTTTTGGCCTATCATTGTCGGTACGTTGTGGACATCCTATCCTGCATTCTGCAAGTGAAGAACTCACGGGTGCCACGCCAGGTGCTTCTCAAGGCACCATCGAAGGCAACTGGATATGCATGCAGCCGATCCAGACTGATGTGTCCTCTTCGCTGCGACTTCGGATGGCAGGCGCGAACTGCGAAGCCACTAGAGACAAGGACTGGAACTCGGCACGCTGTCCCCGCGAACCCAGCACTTCAGCTCCACCGCTGTCCGTAGAGGGGCATGCATCCACACGATAAGGGATGATCAAGTTTCCTGACAACGATTTGGAGGAGCTCCAAAGACACAGAGCTCCCGAAGGCTTTGAGTTCACGGGCAGGTTGTTGGCAGAAAGCATGCGTCAGCAGTAGGCATTGGGAGTGGCAGCGGCTTTCTTTTTACAACTCCTTTCCTTGCATAGCCCCATTCGCCATTCTGGCATGCTTGTCGGAACTTCGCAGCTACTGCAACCGCATTTGAATCACTGCAGTGTGTGTTTGCTCGCAGCTTTTGCCAGACCGAAGACATAAAGGTGCAAAGTCGGGATTTTCTGGCAACTTCCAATTTCGACATATTTCGACCAACTTTGATCCAATCCAGTTCAGGAGGTGTGGGTTACATTCACGTTGTTATGGAACAGGTTTCAAGCACCCTAAATAGAAAGATGCTAGTGTCACATTTGTCGTTGACTTCGTTGCATCTTGTCACGGCTACTTTGCACCCGGTTATGTTAGGGTGATATCAACGCAATGATCCCCGTCTGTGGTCAGGTTCAGCTTATCTCTTGCACTGCAGAGCCAGGAGGGGGCGCTCCCTCCGAGGCTCAGAGAAATGCACTGTTTCTGCGGTGCACTCCTTCGCAGCCTCTTGCGGGGAGGCTTTCGCAAGCACGTCCGGCTCGATGAAGGCAAGGCATATGCCGGGCATTTTGGGCAAACCTGCCCGGGAGCTCCTGGCGAGGTTCGCCTGAGGCTTCCGCTGGGCATCCCCGTCAGCGACGTGTTCCTTTTCTTGGCAGAGGCCTAGTCTGTCCCACTTCTGAAACTTGTTGCAGTCTTGACCCGCAGGACAAAGCTGCGATCCAGGTGATGCTTCAAGAGCGGTCGGAAGGAGCCGGGGGGCCACAAGAAGGGATGTGCGGAACCTTCGTGCAAGTAAAAAAGCCCCGCTGCCTTCCAGGCATGCCGCAAACATGGTCTGAGAGATTCGACCTGCAGCAGTGGCTTCCGGAGGCTGATGGATGTGCGGCTTTTGCGGCCAGAGGGTGAGGGTCTGCACAGTTGGGCCAATGCCATCGTCAGGCCTCCGTGCTTCGTTCGCCTGGCTTGCCGGCAAAGTTTACCTCCAGCTCCGGACGCTTGAGGCATCTCATTTCTGCAGCAACATAGTAGATCATCGTGCTGGGTGCACGCATAAGGTTGGCGGAATATCTCTGCTCGGGTACAGTGTCCACAGCAGCTGCTGCATGCTTTGCCAAACTCTGCACAGGCTCATCCTGCCCTGGACAAAGACTGTCGTCAGTGCCCGAGATTCTGCTGCTGACATTTGCCTTGTGGAGCGATCTCTTTCTGGATCATCGTGCGATTCCACGGGCCGCAATCATGCAACAAAAAGCAGCTGCTCAGGAGTCACGAACGTGCGAGCCATGAGCGTGAGGGTTTTCCTCGCCCAATGATTCTGATCAGTTTCTGGCAAAGTTCCAGAGTTAGTGCCTCGAAGCGCGACTGTCAGGGCAGATCTGCCGCCAGTCCGGAGTGTCTCAGATTGGCTTCGCCAGTCAGAGTTGGTCGAGAAATCATAGATTTGTTCTGATCGGCAGCGCTGCACCTCCTCGCTGTAGGTTGGACGTAGGTAGGAAGTGGGAGAAACATTTCCCCTCAGCTCGATGCTGACCCCAAGTTTGTGCGGCATGCACATAGAGGCCAGTCGGCTCTGTGCGCGTTTTCTTTACAACACCATCAACGTGCAAGAGCACGTAAATTGAAACCAATACGTCATTGGAGGGACATGCGCCGTGCGCTGGCAATCAATCTTCCTCTCAAGTCGTCGATGGACCTCAATGTGCACAGCCTCTCCGCCTAAAGCAAGAGTCAGCTCAGTGGCCACGTTGGCCACCGATGTTTCACAACATCGCAAAATACGGTCCTATGTCTGTGGGCAGCTGTGCAAGCCTCATCTGAACTGCGACTTAAGCATGCGAGCAGTTCCATACTTTTGCTTACTCAGGTGGCTTTACATGTTTATCGACCTAATTCTGTTGCTGCTGATGTCATGTTGTGTCACCGACTTCCCTGTCAGGGGCCCTTCTGTCATTGCCTTTTTGATTGATCCGTCATCAACTAGCAAGCGCATCCTTTCAAAACCTTTGCCAGTGTCTTGCTGTTGAAGCAGATCGCCTCTCCATCATATGTGCGCCTGGAGTCCATTTCTTCGAATAGCCGGGTCTGCTCCTCTGACAGAGGCAGGAGTGAGTTACGGGATCAATGACTTCAATCAGACCGACGACGCTTCATCCACATATTAGGATCGAGGGCAATGACCACACCGTTGTTCATCTTGTTTCTCTTTGGGATTCTTCCAGGCTGATGAGCAGTTCTTGTCTGGAAGCAAACTCTGTTGAAAGGGCACCGGCAGGGAAGGCCGAGCGAGGTGAAGAAGGTGGAAGACCGCAGTCGGAAATGTTTGAAGAGCTTTGGTCCGAAGATCTCTCAAGGCCATCCCCCACCAGAACCATTGTGTCCTCGTGAGAAGCATGACAGTGCTCTGGTTCCGCACTTCGGTGACCAACTCCGGCTTGTGCACCGAGCCCAACCCGAGAAGCCACAAGTTGTCGGAAGTTAACCACGGTACTGTGAATGTTGTGTCTTGGCAAAACTCTGGCTCCTGCTCCCGTGCACGCTGCTGTTCCGCCCTGCCGGAACTGACCGGCCCAAGCCAGTCATACTTCCGAGGCACGCTGTGGATTTTCGAGTCGTCAAAGCACCCCTGCTCCGGCGCTTCAGGCACAATGCATACAGTGTAAACAGCGCGTGCACCGGCCTTTTCAAGCTTATTTATAGGTTGGCAGCACCGTGTTATCATTGCTTACATCGTACAGTGCATACACCACATGCAGTGTATACATTCTTATACCGTATGTACCGTACTGCGGTGCATATCATACGTGACATACTTTTGTTCACACATTAGACACCAATCCCCTCATCTGTATTCGCGAGGCAGTGCTATGCCACATCAAGCATGTCGGTGGAGCCATCGTGCGTGATGGTAGGGCCGTTTCGCGCACTGTACATCATCGCGGTGCGAGCCTTGCACGATGCCTGCTCACGTCCGGCTCCTTGTTGTGAAGATCCGAATCTGGAAACACACGCGACTCAGAGCCGGCTGGCGGCGACTCGATTGGGGTCGAGGACTGGGCTTTACCCAACGACGCGCGCTGGGAGCATGCGCTCGTTTCATTGGATGCGTTTCTGTGCAAACTGTGAAAGGTTGTACCTGCGCTCGTGCCTTCGCACGCGTGTTTTACGGTCAGCCGTCGGAGTACCAGTGATGGGATGACAATGGGACGACGATGGAGTCCGCCACGGCATCAAGGCGGTCCTGTTGCCCCCGCCCCGTTCGCCTTCGGTCAGCATGAGGCGTTGCAGTCCCTCGTGGCTTTCTTCGATGACCTCTATTCGACCCGAGCGCGATGCGCCATGGACTGCCATGGACCTGGTGACAGGAGCCATCGAGACCCACGTGCATCTTCAACTGCAAGGGCGGCCCGCCACCACCTGGTCGCAGACCCGGGCCCCGAGGTTTGGAATGGCGACCGGCCCTCGTAGAGAGTGATGAAGCGCGCAGTTAGCACGTGGTGCTGCGCAGAGGCGCAAAGCTTACAAGCAGCCGCGCGCATTGCAGGTCGGGCACCTGGGGAAGCTGATGAAGTAACGTACCTTCGGTTTTAAGCCGTGCATGCCGTGCTGCCCGAAGCACGGACGTACTCCGGCGTGCTTACAGGTGACGGTTCCGGAGAGTTCGTACGCGGAGCACGCCTGGCAACGTGCTGTGATCGAGGGGAAGTTGGAGTGCGAGCCGGCTTCCTGCCGTCGGTGGCCCGGATCTCGCGCAGACGCCGGATTCGGACGCGTCCGCTGCGGATCGGAAGGATCCGTGAAGCAAGTCCGGTATCGATCCGTTGAACTTCGTCGATGGCACGGACCTGGCGCAGGGAGAGGCTTCGAGTGGCGTGGGTTCGTCTGCTGCGGGGAAGTTTGAGTCGCGGGGCGAGGTTGGCAGGGATCCTGTGAAGCGCGTCGATGGCAAGCGCCTCCTGCTGCGAGGCCTGGGCATGGTCGCCACGCTGATGCTTTTGATGCTTCTGCGGCATACGCAAAGCTAGCAGCTAGTGCGACCGGGGCCCCCGCGCCTTCTTGCATCCTTGCCTGCGATGGTACGCCTTGGAGCCAAAGTGCGCCCGGCGAGGTCCCGCTGCCCAAAGCTGGCTGCGCTGCTGTTGGTTCCTATTCATTCTGGTTCTGCAACGCACCCGCGCCGCCACGTTGTTCGGCACACTCTACATCACTGGCGCCATGCTTGGTTCCCAACTCCCGGTGCTCGGGAGGTGCTGCACTAGCTCCTAGGGCCGTGCAGCCGTCGGAAAAGGAGCGCCCGGGCTACTCGTATGGTGAGGTGCTGTAATGATTGTTCCTCGGACCCGTGTTTTTCTTAGGCGGCTCGATACTGGCGGTGGCTGCATCACGTTTCCGAGTTGCTTGCCTGAGGCATTGCTGGCGGAGTAGCGTCAAAACCAAGTGACAATCTCAGCACAACCAAGCCTTGCATTGCCTTGCATGCTGTTGTCGCCACTGTCCACTTTGCAAACTCCGAAGGCAAAGCTCCACAGGCCCGCCGGAAGTCGGTCCTCCAAACCAGAGGAGCAACCTCAGCCGCAGCATGGGGACCGGAAGCTGGCGTGCGCACTTGCCCGTACCAAGGTGGGATGACGAGTGGGTTCCGCTGGACTAAGGCGCGACTTTCTCGCGCGGGGCTTTCCTCCACTCGGATATATTTGGAGGACAGTGGCTGTCGTAGCCGGTTGGCTAGTCTGGGTTGCTCACTGCGCAGCTGTGCGTTTCTTCGCCGCCAGCTTTTTGTCCCTCCCCATATCCAACATTGCCAACCCCTGGCTAACCCGGACAGCGAGCCGCCTGTTTTCAATGACATCCTGACTGCCTTCATGTCAACCCAGCTGAACGGCGCGGCTTTGCCCTTGTCATGTTTACGGTCCTAGACGGACATGGGGAATGTCAGAAAACCCACGCTGCTCGGAGCACCGTACGTCGCTAGTGGGCTGCATGGTGCCCAGCTCCCTCGGCTGGAAAACGCGCTGCACGACATTGCGCGACAGTCCCTTATACCCAAACCTTGGCCCGTTGTGCGCTGGTTGCCGGACTTCCCGTTTTGCAGATGTAACAAAACCAGAAGAAGGTGTGTTGTTGGGTGTGGGCACACGTATAGTGTGCAGCTCTGGGACCGTGCTGGGATCTTTGCACGAACGGCAAAAGGATGCAAAAAGTGCAGCTGCTTTTAAAACTTTGCTTACGCATGCCGGTGCATATCAAAGATGACGGAATGCGGCCGTGCAGCGCGCAACTGTCGCAATCCTTGCTGGGGGAATCAGTACCATCTTCACTAGACGCACCATCATCATTCGTGGTCGTGGTCGTCATCATCGTCGCGGCCGCCGATCATTGGAGCATCTTCATCATGATGCTTGAGCGCGGGGACACGCCGAGCCCCGTTACCAGCTCAGGACAGCTCGCGTTGTGGAGCGCCACACCGTACACTGGGCATCGTGGTGCGACACACTGCCCTTTATCTGGCGCCGGGCCGCGGGGGCAGCTGACCGCCTGCTCAGCGCACGGCAAGGTGATGTTCCGACCACGGTAACTTGGATCCAAGTCCAAGGCACCGTCATGGTCCGCTGTCGGTGGAGGAGCCGGACGCGGTGAGGAGCCCACCGAACTTCTTCGCAGCTGGCGACGAGTCGCTGCCCGAGCTAGCTATGAGCGAATCTGCCAAGTTTTCCCTTGCATCTCGCGCACTGCTGCTGTCGCAAGTTGGGCTTATTTGGGCTCCTTGCTGCCCGCGCCAGCACCGCGTTGCCAACGCGGTACGATCGATCTCACCATCCGTAAAGCCCTGTCCAGGGTGCTGCTCCTCCGAGCCACGTGCGCCTCGCCCCTGCCGCTGCCATGGGCTGCTCGACCCGCTTGGCGGCCACTGGTCCGTGTGCGCCACTTCCAGTTTGCTTGCTAGCCGAGCTTTCCCGCTCGAACACACTGTCGCCCGAGTTTGTCGCGAGGCTGGGGCACGGGTCGCGAGGCACATGCGCCTCGCCGACACGAACCCCGATTCGCGAGTCAGTGATGAGAGGCGCATCGAGGTCGTCACCGACGGCCTCCCTTGCTGGCACGGGTCCCAGCCTTGCAGTCGAGGCTGCTGCCAGGCGCAAGCGCCGCGACACTTACCCAGGGCGCGGTTCGTGTCGAGGACGGTGGGAGGTTCGGTCGCCAGCGAGCCGACGCCGTACCTGCCCACCGCCCGCCTGCATGAGGTCCTCGCTGACGTTTGCTCGAGGAGGTCCCGGCCAGCCGCCTGCTCC